TTTTTCTCTGAAGAAGCGATTTCCACACAGTCGTGAAAGGTCAGAAATTCATTGTTTACCTCACTGGGATTTTATAAATTTATTTCATTTATCATCCATTTACCCAATGCTCAACTTATTAAACTGTACCAGGTCAAATTTTAACCTTGGAGTCTATAAAAAAAGCTGCATTGTTGAACTGCTTAATATTCACTACTAATCAAAACCAAAGAAATCAGAGGAAGCAAAATAAAAAATAGTAATTTGTTGCACAGTTTGTTGGACCTTTAGGAAGTTGTTGAATAACTGTTCATTCATTCCATAGATACACCCACTCAGGCGATCGTAACACCTAGTAAACAGGTGTTTAGAAAATCATATATTCGACGATTATGGAGCATCTGGAGTCCCACGTACATCAGATGTCAGACTTGTGATTCCGACTGTTTCTAATAATCCAATCTGAGTGTTGTAACCTCACACGTAAAATTCTAGTAAAGAATAAGCGTGATTTACATATTCCTTCATGTTCGCAACCAACCAACCTGAAAGTGTGAGATAGATCCTGAAAATACCCGCATGAAGACAATTTTGATTCAATCACTCTTAGCATCCCTACGAAATCAGTCAACATGTATTAAGGGTGAATACTGAACGTGCAAAATGCATTGTAACTATGGATGACAGTTGCAATGAGAATAGACAATATTCTTCCTGAAACCTTTCAATTTATGCACTGTATTGTAACGAAAAATAATCTAGGCTCTATCCTACAGTGTTCTTAGTGGTCGAATAATCAGTCTCACCAACCGAAGGTTATCAAATCCTACCTTTTGTACAAACAGAATGATCAAGCCTACAAGTAATTGGACAGAATATGAACAAGTGCATTCCTCCCTTAATAAACATATCTCTTTTAGGAAACCTGTGCATTCAGATTTCCAAAAAACAACTAATTATAACCAATGGGTTCATAGTGGCCACATTTTTGTATCCATACTGAAAAAATTTAAAAAAAAGCCCGATTGCATAGTTTAGCTTCACTTGTGATATGTCGACACAGTTGCCTTAGAACAGTAGTTCCTTTATATAATAAATGTCAAATGATATCTTAAACTAGCTAATATATTTATTTCGAGGTTAGTGAGGACTTTATTTTTAAGGCAGTATTCATCATGTAACGTCCGAAGCCCCTGAGTTCGATCCCTGACGGGGTCGTCAGTGCGTGCTGCAGAGGACTCCCATACTAGGATGAAACGGCCGTCTAGTGCTTGCAGGTTCCCAATGCTTCTCCAACTGACCCCAGTCCATGATGGATACCAACCTGAAATCGATAATTAAGTCCGCACAAACCTCCAAATTGAAAACTATGTAGGTCAAACATCAACATTATTGAAAACTAGATAGAACGAACATCAAAGACTAACTAAAGGGACAAAATTTGAAAGGAAGTTCATCGATAACAGGACATGCATTGCATGGAACAAAACCAGCATACTATAGTCCAATAAAAGTAAATGGAAAGAAAGATAAATAACAGAATCTATATTTATAGATGTCACCCCTAACAAATATAACAAAAGTCACTCAACATAATCGTCAGCGATGTGGAACATGGTATTGAACAAACACACTAATGAACAATAAGGAAAGACCGTACACGTGACATCTATTGGGAAATATATGAATAAGAAAATCAAGCTCCTGGAATGATCACGGGAAGTAACTTTGCTCAAAATAGTACCAAAATAAAAGCTTATTACTGTGCGTAAACTTCTCATTCCACAATGCACAAACTATTCATTGATATACCCTAATCAGGAAGCCAAAATATCCCTTTAGGATTCGCATCAATAATAAAAATTCATCGACTGGCGTCACATTTTGGCTCAGGTGCTCTTAATTTTCATCTGCCCTGATCACATTGCACAATGAAACAAGCATGAGCAGCTGAAGTTGTACAATTTTATCCACTGACTTGGCTCCTGATTATTGGTCTCAACATCTAATTCGTCTCACTTTTGCCACCACAATATACGGCAGTACTAAAAAATAACAGGGGTAAAGTGCTCGAAGTGGTCATAGATACGCCTTTAATAGTTATACTTCATAGTCACATAGTAAGGAAGAATACAATGCTAAAGGGTATATAGGGTGTTAAATATTCTGTGGACTCCGCAAGTGGAGTTTTTATATACTCCCTTCCATAAATTAGTGAAAAAAACCAACTTCAGATAACCTCAATTCAAAAGTAAGTCAAACTTCTCGATTATTTGCAAGATTCTGACTTCTTTAAATCAATCTATGTAAAAAGCTGAAGTAAAAAGAGAACACTGACAACCACGGATATATCTTTAGTCTGGATATCTTCAACAACGTGATGTTGAAGTGATGTTTTCCATTTTCAGATAACCAAATGAAACTTTTAAACCGACCACAACCACCACCACCCGCAACTCGTTCAGAAATACCACCAACAACGGCAGAACTACAAGTGGAACACAGGCCCTCCGATAAAAACCGAAATCCTGAATGCCATAAAACTTCTGAAATCCGTCAAACCAGCAGGACCAAATGGAATTCCGACAGAAGCACTGAAAACTGACGCAGAGACAACAGCGGACATGCTTACACCACTATCGCAGAAGGTTTGGGAGGAAGGAAGGGAAGGTACCTGCCAGATAGAAGAAGGACTACCTTGTCAGACTCACAGAGAAAGGAGACCTAAGTGTTTCCAAGAACTGGCTCGGAATCATGCTTCACTCCTGTCCACCCTCAAGCAAAATATTATGCCGCATCTTGCTGGACAGACTGACAGATGCTCTGGATTCAAAATTACAACCTGAACAGGCTGGCTGTCTGGCTGGTTGAAGAACAAATCATGTGCGGATCAAATTGCAACGCAACGCAACGCATCATCATAGAACAGAGTATAGAATGGCAGTCAACTCTCTACCTCAACCTCATCGATTTTGAAAAGGCCGTCGACAGTGTCGACCGGGAAATAATTTGACAGGCAGCTGCTTCAACATTACGGTTTTAGGGACACAAACCTTTATCAACCTCATTCAACAGCTATGTGGAAAGGCCACATGCCAAGTGATCCACAATGGAAAGCTCAGTGATGCCTTTGAAGTGAAGACAGGAGTAAGATGATCTTCCTGATTGTGGTGGACTGGATTATGCAACAAACCATGAGTAGCAAGAAGTGGGGCATACGGTATTTGACCGATGAGAAGACGCTAGAAGATTTGGATTTATATCTAATGTCTTGTAGCACAAACTCGAAGATCTATAGGCGAAAACTAACGAGTTGACAGAAGAGGCAGCGAAGATGGGACTTCAAGTGAACGTAGAGAAGACGGAGGTGATGATGATACTCAACCAACAACAGCATCAACAACAAGAGGCACCAATCACCATCAATGGGAGAAACCTAAAGGAAGTAGTCTCTTCCACCTACCTAGGCATCATCGTTTCAACTACAAGCGACAGCGGCACAGGTGAGGGTGTCAAAACCGGGATCGGAGAAGCAACATAGGCTTTCATTAATCTGAAATCAGTGTGGAGATCTCCTGCACTCAGCACGAAAAGCAAGATCTGGATTTCCAACACCAATGTCAAGTCAGTGCTGCTATATGGTTCAGAAACTTGGCGTGTCACGAAAAGTATTTCCAACAAACTACAGACATTCATCAACATCTGCCTGCCTACGCTCTCTCGATACTGAAGACTAGATGGCCAGAAAGAATAATCAAGGAGGAACTCTGGGAACGAACCAGCCAAGAACCTATTACTCAACAAATATGCAGAAGAAAATGGAGATAGATTGGGCATACACTAGGAAAGCTGACTGGGGACATCAAGCGCCAGATCCTCGAGTGGAACCCGAAGGGAAAACGACGAGTTGGACGTCTGAGGGTGACATGGAGGAGATTGTGTGAGGAAGAAATGGAAGCTTGTGGGCAGTCTTGGTGCCGGGTATAAAAGACTGCAGAATACAGCGTGCAATGGAGGCGTGCTGTTGAAGCCTTATGTTCCACTAGGAACCCACGGGAAAAATAATAATATGACTTCTATATATATCTGACCGGGATTATTATAAAGCATGTTGTAAGAGAAACTGTGAGATGACCACGGGTTTAATGGAGCAGAAATCATCTTCGACGTGTAAATTTTAGAAAACGACTTCATAAATTTGTTAAACAGAACTATCTCGCGATGATCCCCTATCCGGCATTATTGTTAGCCTGATACAACAAATTGAACGGCAAAGTATTAAATTATACAGTGAATAAGCAGATAATATCTAATGCACAGAAACCTGTCAAACTTCAATAGTTCACTTGCTAATAAGATTATGTCAAGACAGAAGCTCCACCAGCTGAGGCTTTGGAAACCAGATAGTATCATCAACCCTCACACGACAGGTGTGGCTCATTGGTTACCGTACAAATGTGCACATGATTGCTGAATGGATTTCGATTTCGAAGTAGAAGTAATAAACTACCTGCTGCACAAATTGGATGAATATATAATTTTAAGCAAACAAAACACAAAATTGTGATTAAATTTGAAGACTAATTTTCTCCGCTAACCTAGCTACATTATCCATCATAAAAAAATATCGAAACAAAAGATGTTTCGAATATCTTCAACTTTTCATCTCCAAAAATGAGTGTCAATATATGTCTCCGGTCAGTGTAAAATACCATAGTGATTTACCAAGAAGATATGTTTCATAGAAGTTCATACATTCAACAAAGGCGAAATTTATCTGTCGACATCCTCATACTTTATATGCTACTGTTTTCCTATCGTTATTAAATGTAAACCTACTCAGATACGTTACACAGATTCGTGCAGTAGGCAATGACCCAACCTAGTGTGAGGGCTGGTGACAACACCTGGTTGCCGAAATCTCGTTAAGTGGAGCGGTGTGTGACCCCCTGAACCAATGAGCCACGACTCTACATAGTTATTAAACTGAATTACAAATGGTAATCATGATATATTTCTGAGTTGAGTTTTTAGAGGAATGCTGTTACTATTCGAATGTTTGGTAATAAAACCAAGGTAGCCAAGATAGATGACATTGGAAGTGTGTCGTCAAAAGATTATAAATACCTTTAAAAGCTTAATTAACATATATCAGGAACAGCCCTTGACCGATGAGGTAGTCAGATGTGCAGTTCTATAGTGTTGATTGAAAGTTGACAGAGTTAAATCAAGGTATGCTTCTAACTATATCGAATTAATAACTATTCCATATGTTTTCATTGTTTGTTCAATAGTTGTGAACATCAATAAATGTTTTAGGTAAAGATAAGTGCAATTTGTAAATCATTCGATAGCCACTATTGAAGAAAAAAATATTGCGTGATGATATAAGATTTATCTTCACTTTACTTGTGCTTTAGGCATAACAACTAGTACATTTGCAGTGTATTACGTCTATATACTAACAAAGTATACATGAAGGAAAATAAACAAGGAAAACATAGGTGTAGAAGAAAACGGAGTAACTTAAACTCAGTGAGATAGACTGTACATTTGAAAACATCTAAATCTACCTTACTGATATGATAATGAGGCTGGTGGAACAGCTTCGATAATTAAAAAATTTAAAATAATGAACTTTATTGTTGTTATGATTACTACTAACAGTGGTCAAGTGATGAACAGATAAAAAGAGGGAGCGAATGACAAAATATTTGAAGTCAACCCCACTCCTGTTTTCGCTAGTCAAAAGTAGCTGACTACGATGTATTCGGCGACAATAATAATGGATTCTGCATCATTTTCCGTTGAATTAATGTAACGAAATGCTGTTTTGGTGGTTGGCGTTGACACTTCTCAGGAATTTGCTCTACCCATAATTGACGTTCACCCAGTGAATTAGACCAAGTACCTTTAAAATTATAGATCATGAAGTGCATAAAAATGAAAAGGAACAGGAATTTATGTATGTATGTACGTATGTATTTATAAAATGTACAGATCTAAGGCAACAACTAATTATTCTGGACAGGAAACTTCCAAACTGACTGATGATGAGCTTGAAAGCCTCTTCACATATCAAATTCTAGGCAGATAGATGTTATAACTAACCTTCATACAATCGGCTTGCTATATTACCTAGTATAGCATAAGTTTTGAAGTGGTTGATGAGGTATAGATACATATACCATCACCAAGTGCTAGCTCATCAATAAATAAGCTACGATATAGAAATAATCGACTACATAGCTCTAACAAATGCACTTCTGTGCAAGGTGCTACTTTGATGTGTCTGTCTATCTGACTACACACCACTGGTGCTTAAACTGTTACGCAGTCATGATTTTAGCAATTGTTAGCCTCGTACCAAATCTGTATGAGTGTCAAGTTTAAACGTATAATTATATTTCCCCCATTCAACTGTTCATTTGATAGAGCAGACAAACTAAAGTACATCAGAACCAAACGTATAAAGTGTTGGAAAGTTAAAGCTGAATCTTTTACAACTGAGGTTGAATACACATCGTATTTCATGCAGATGATTCACATGTTTTAGGAATGGATAAACACTGAAAGGCATCTTTTAGGATGTAGTCTCCTTGATGGCTAGCAGTGGAATCCAGGACGCGCGCTTCAACCTATTTGGGATTCGTCAGCTGGATGTATGCGGATGTCTTTATACTAGTCGGATATTCATCAGATTGTAGTCTAATCTAATGAATATCCAGGGAGTATCAAGACAACCGCATTAGGAGCCCATCTGCCGACAATGGTCGCACAATTAAACCCAGTGTAGCAACGGGAAATTACAAATGTCGCTTAGAATGTCTAAATTTGCGATTTGCAAAATTCACTAGACAACCAATATCAAGTGATAGAATAACAAATGTTGGTGGAGAATTTTGTAAACAGTAATAATTTGTTCTGGATAACTGCTAATAATCCTTATTCAAACTGCTATAAGTTTGGGTTATATGGATGATCTCCATAAAACATAAATTATAATGACAAACAGACAACTACAAACAAACTTGGGCTGAAAAAAATAAGCTAACTCTCGAGATGTGATAACATTGATGATGTATGGTGACTAGCAGTGGAATCCATGATGCGCGTTTCATCCTATTTAGGACTCGTCAGCTGGATGTACCGGCACTCCAGTGAGTAAACATACGACCAATCGCTTTAAACACCAGGCCACTGAGTCACGAAAGCCACACCATGTACGATGGGGTATAGTATAGAGATTCACAAGCTATAACATCAAAAATGTGATATCATTTGAACTCCTGAATACAAATGAATGACGGCTATGTCTAAACTGTGGAACCGTGCAGTAATCTTAAAAGAATGCTTTGATTCAACTGAACAAAGTACTAGCTAGTGAGAAAGTCTTATTTAGGCATATGAAAAAATACATTACTGAAGTAAGAAGATACTCACTGTATGAATTCAATCCTAAGTAGGTGGCAATAGAATGAACTAACAGCCTTTGGAATGAATCAAGACATAGTAAATTAGAATGTGAATAACTGCGATTTTTGTTATTGGTATCATTGTTACAGTTACTTGAAGATTCTATCGATTGTGACACTAAAGATGAAGATGGAGTCCAACGTTTTACAGGAACCTGATTTCTTCGGAAAAAATGTTGCCTCAACTCTAACTCTACTCTCTTTAACAAACAAATATCAATAGGAGTAAGAACACGTTTAACACGTTTCCGATTGTTTTTTGAATATTCTGTACCAGGAGACTCTGATAGTAATGAAAGTAAACGAGTGGGAAGACGCTGTTCTACCTCCAGATCATGTTCTTTGAGAAATGTATCTGCACCTAGATTGAAACTATTTTCTTCAGAATTAGGAGACGCACCTATGTAAAGCAAACCAAGACACAAATATATAGTTAAGCTACATGATTAATGTCAAATAAAAGTCAAGAAAACGAGAATTTCAATATGTTTTAAAGAAATTATTTTCTACAAAATACTATTGGTCAATTATCCAATGAAAATCATATAAGTATTTCCTAAAAAGACGACAAAATTTTGAAAGTCATAATCCCAACTCTGGGATACACTGATCGCACCGCTGAAACTCGAAATTCAATGAGACACAGTAATTTTCTATTTTTTAGGAAGATATATTCCAGGGTTTATGGGTATTAAGTTAACTGTATGCGTCGAGTATCCACCAGGCATATTTCACCTCATTTCTATCTAATTCTGTCATAGACGTTCTTAAGGAGATCTTCCTCTCCACGTCTGATTTAACAGGAATAGACTTCATCACAGAAAACTTCTTAGTAAACCTAGAGTGTACAGGTTAAATAATCCTGTTAGGTGAATGCAGTCTTCTGGGCACAATATGAGTGGAAATTTGCAAATGTTTGGGATGCGTTTCTCACCATTCAAATGCAAACGGTTGTTCCAGTACTGGTCTGCGTTGATAACATGTCTGACAGTACGGCAAGAGCCTTATATTACTATAAGAGTGAGTTGCAATACTGCTCAGGCATTCAGACTAGAGTGCGTAAGTTTTGTGGAGAAAACCCTGAGTAGCATAGAAGATAACGGAGTGGTGTCACGAGTAGCTTCGCTATGAAAGCAGATAGTAAATTTACGCGGCACTAACTGCATCACGCTTTAGAGCTTTTTTAGACCAGTCACTCGAAAATAAGCTTTCACCTCGTTGAGTAAGCTCCGTGTGTACACCACAGAACCTTAGCACTAAGTACTTGCTTTAGATCATATGACAGGAACCGTAGCTTTAAACCAACCCAGTATCGACTACACAACAGATAACTAAACAGGATAACTTTGAAGTGAATGGAGAGCTTCAGCCACTTTAGTCAAAGACATGTCTGTCTTGCCTTGACGACTTAACGATAAAACTGGAGAGCCGAGAAGTGATTGCTAGTCGAAATTCCCAAAATTCTTTAAATCGTTAGGGATACACAATAACAATTATTAAATCACTTTTAGTGGCCCAATTAACTTGTAACTTAAACAAAAGTAGTAAAAGCCTAACACTCCCCATTTACGCTAAAACTGCGATCAAAGTAAATTTGAACAGTGAAAACTAATAATCTACAAGCCTACAAGACAGCCTACGCAGAAAATTCAATTAGCGATGGATGCCGACACTGAATATCTATAAAGCTGAAGTTGATAGTGTCAAAGCATATTTTTGCTTGACAAGCTACACAGAAATCTGAGCTGCTGACAAAAATATGCCAATGTTTCGTGTCCACAAGAAATAGGTCAAAAGTGGGATGGAACACGTCGTCAGACAGATCAATCTGTCCAATATTCTACGAAACTAGATGAATAAAATTTTATAATAATTTCACTAATTGTGCCGATAAAAATGGACACATTAGGTAACAACATAAAACAGAATCCCGATCGTCTTTTATTGACCTCATCTCTGTAGCATTTGAAGAAATTCAGTGTCTATCTTAATGGTGCTGGCTAGAAATTATTAAAGTTTTCTGTAGACGATGCATCCAGTACCACACAGATTCTCACTGTAAGTATATCTGGCAGCATCAGAAAGAGGATATACTAGTTATACTACGTTGATCATATTTTTATTTTACAAGAATACAGCAACAGCCACTCTAAGACAGCTCAATTCATCAATTTCAAGCTGACACTAAACATTAACCCTAATAAAGGTCTGTAATAGCATTCAGATGTCAGCTAAGTTTGGAAAGTGATGACTATTATTACATAGTCAGTATATTCAAAGTTAACACTGATTACATGTAGTTTTACAACAAGGGTCTTCTACAGAAATCAAGTGTCGCGTTCTCCACATATCTTCCACTAATACTCTATTCGTCACTTGCGTTCTGATAAAATTAACCGTCCGATTTATTTGAAGTAAATGAACGACATATCTCGCTTTTCAAGAGATACCTCGAAATTCAGACATCAGTGCCCAGAGAGGGCTATTTGTATCACGATTTAAAAGCATGTGCAGTTAACTAATCGTCTGAGTGCTTCACCCACTTAATGAATAAAAATTAAAAGACATTTATCGATCTTAGTCGAAAACGCAAACTGAATAGACGGAACAAAGTTAAATTTGCGCTGAATGAAACTTAAATTTACAGATAATCCCAAACTCCATCTAAATGCGTCATCGTAACATCAACTGATCAACCGACTATATAACAGGAAACGTTAACAAAAGTATGAATTTCAAAACAACAAAACTACTTTCAATCAAACATACAAAGGGTAAAATTAGCCTCCAATGAATTCATAAGACCTATAATCCTCTTTTCACGAGAACGATGCTTAACTCGTCGACATCGATGATTTACATGACGTTTTAAAGAAGAACCAGAAGGGATAGATGAACAAACAATATCATTTTCAAGGTCATCGAAATCACTCATATCTTCATCATTGTTTGGATTACGCATGGAAAGTGTATTTAGAAGATTTTCTTGTTCTCGTTCAGATAGTTGAATAAACATATCCCAAACAGCTCGAATACTGTAAATTATAAGAGGAGAAATATATTTTTGAGATCTCAAAAAAAATCTGGAGAAAAAAGAAAATTTTAGTTATGTTTTTAAAGTGATTTAATAGATCTTACGTTGATGGTGCTTATTGTGAATGCATGATGAGGAAAATATATTTGTAAGATCCCAGTGAAGACAAGGAGAACTTCTGACGATTTACGAACTCATGGGAGCTGATTTTCCAGAAAATGGAACTCGTGCTAGTTTTCATGTCTAAACAGTAAATAGAATAAACAACGGTACATTTTTCACGACCATATGAATGAATCATGCTGTTTATGGATGGTTGAGGTGTTTTCTATAATGTTGTGGCTCATTGGCTTAGGCAGTTGACTATCGACTAGCGGGTCATGGGTTCGAAAACTGCCCCACCTATCGCGGTGCAGGCAGCCACGTAGTACCATTAGCCCCCATATCTAATAGGTGTGGTTCACCGCCTACTGCACAAATGTGCACAAGGTTGCTGAGTGTGTTCTGTTCTCTGTAACGCCGAATCCCAATGAAAAGAAGGGGTAAACTAAACTACCCCACCAACTAGTATATGCGGATCATCTTGCTTGATAAACAAATAATACAATTTCTTCCCTTGATAGAAAGGATTGACGATTAAGTCGTTTATATATAGATCTAACGGGTATTCTACAGCAGAAGTCGCATAAAAAGGAGGAAACAAATATATTCTACGAAGGAAGAAAGGTTACATAAAAATCGTACAGATATATACTCTAAACGAAACTAACAATGAAAATAGGGTAATGTACTCTATCGATCTAGCATCTCTTTTTACAACGGTTCCGTTACGGTCACTCTCATGTAGGAATTCATTCTGGTCTGCACAGAGAACATCAGATTTAATTTCCAGAATACTGAACACAAACAAATTGGTGTTGCAATGGGAAGACCTCAATGGTCCGTTAGTAAACGTATTTATGTCTAAATTGGAAACGCAACTGGAGGGTAAGTAAGAAAACTTTACTTCTATAATGGCTTTAAGGGTGATACTCTTGTTATAGGCAACGATCATGAATCAGTTAGTAAATTTATTGCCTTATTCAACAGTATTCAGCCAAATATTTCCGTGACATCTAAGTATGGAAGAATTGGCAAACTGGGTTTTCTGCACCTTTTAATAACCACACAAATGACAGAACTATCAGAAAGAAGATTGACATTTCGAAAATAAACATGAAATAGGCAGTAACTTCACTGTAGTAGCTTTATTCCTATTTAGCATAAACTTTGTTTGGTTAAATGTCTGTTCTCAAGAGCTTACAGAACATGTACCAGTGACACATTGGAAGATGAAATATATTCCATACATTCGCTTTTACAAACTAATGACCAACCGGAAAAATTGTGTGTCACAGTAAAGAGCAACTATTCACTGAGAATATAGCTACTGCAACAAAGAAAGCATTCTTCATTAACTTACCATATAAAGATGACCAGTAGACAGTTCAGATGTTTCGGTTGGCTATTAAACGTATTTCTACAACAAACCTAAAGGACATTTTCTCCCCCAGTGTCAACAATTGAAGAATGAAATTCCGTTAATCTTACCTCACATTGTATCTACAAGTTGACCCGCAGTTGCGGGGAAGCTTATGTAGAATGTACTTCACATGAATAGGAATCAAGCAAAATCGATGGTCATCCACTAACTGATGAATAGTCAGAAAATCTATTAAAGGTGACGGAAGGACTGTGGATCACATTTGTCTACCCTGGACTACCTTAGCCTACCTAGTATAATGATTAGTTATTAATATTTCCCTTTACAAATACTACCGAATAGTTTGTTATTAGAAACCATGTTAGTTAGCATGCGATTGCACAGAAACTATGGAACGATATCTTTAAAAAAACCAGTCTTCTTGAGGCCTTGTTTAAATATGTATAAAAAGGTAAGAGGATTTACACTAGTTGGGGAAATAAGATGAGCACAAAGCGGACAGTAAGGTCAAGAGTATAGGATGGAATAACAATAAACGTGCATGAATCGATAATAATACGGAAAAAGCGTCATGATTATCAACAAAACAACACCATAATATGGATAAACTGATAAGTGTTTCTTGCTGATTACCCAAGTTCGACCTTAATCGCTTAACAAACTACAGTTAAACCCAACAAATACGAGTCAACCTGTTTATTAATTATTTTAAATGTATTCAGAAACAAATAGTTATTAGTCTGTTCCTACCATGATGATTTTGTTGTTAATAATCACATTTCTTACGTATAATTATCAATTCGCATTTTCAGGATTACTCATCTTGTTTTCCTAGCTAGCGTAAATCTTCTAGCCATTTATAAATATTTTCTTGTGAAATACATTTCTCCCTCTTTTGTCCAGCTACCGCTTTAGATTATTCGTTGACGTTTTCTATATAAAGACAACCTTATAATTCGTTATGCATATCTATTCACTTATTTCATCCCTTAAATTACCTAATATCAGTGGTATCTTTTCTTCATGCAAATAATTTTCTATCAAATTGGTTCAAGTATGTTAGCCTTTTATATAATTTGATATTATTAAATTGCTTCAAAATGTAGGCAGCTGGTGAGAAACCCTGAAATAAAATGGATCCATACTATTCTGCTAAAGGTTTATTTCTCGCTCGACTTAGATCAGTCATAAAGAAAAAAGATAATTCGGAGAAGAAAATTCTATTTTTCGACAATATCACTTTCCAAAACCGTACAATCGTATTCATGTGTATGGGCAATGCATGAATTTCTATTGTTGGACGCAGCTCAAAAGAAAGAGATGTGATTCATTTCTTGTCATCAATAATCAGAGCAATCTGCATCAATGATATTATCGGAGGATGAGTTGGACAATTTCTCATACGAAACGGATATCTATCCAGAATTATTGGGGAAAACTTGAAATTCCAACAGAATATGCAACCAGCACTCATAGCTCCAAAAATTTTACTTATGAAACATGATTTCAAAGTTATTCATCTTAGTGACTCGCAGTGGAACCCAGGACACTCGTTTCGTTCTATTTGAGACTCGTCAGCTAGACGTACTTGCACCCCAGTGAGTAATCTTGTTCCCACTTAGACTGGAACCCAGTACTCATCACTCCAAACGCCAAAGCGTCATCCACTAGGCCAGCAACAGAGATCCAAACTGCTGGAGACATTTTTCTCTGACAAGTTACGGATCAGCTTCCCTGGTCGACAAATGGTTCCGGAATGTGCTAAAGAAAAGCTATCGTCTCGAGCCATATCAATTTGAGTCATATTTGGATACCGTAAAGTGTAACATATGCAAAAATTAACCGTTTACGCACATTTTCTGATGGCCTTGGTAAGTTCCATACTTTTCCAAAAAGTCCTTTAGCGAATCTGAGACTCATATGTATGACCATGTGGTTCTTTGCGAACGTCCGGTAAGCCATGATTGGCTGTGAAGGCGTTTCAGAGATTTTCAGGTTTCTTTGAGGAATTTGGGGGACATCGTCGCACTCCATAACACCCTCTTTAAAAAAATAACTATGTATAACGGTGTTGCGTGGTATTAACTTGGATCTTCTTGAAAGGCTTTCTGAAAAGAACCATTCGACGCTACGGTGGCTCCGAACCAGCAGAATTCTGACAATTTTCCTTGCTGTTTGGAAATCGTGAATCGTTTTCTGATTGCTGTGGGCTGTCCAGTTACATATTCAATGGTAAGCTGAAAAAGTATCATTCCTATTGTAGTTAAGACGTCTTAGTCCCAGTTGATTTACATGTTTCCTCTAGATTTCTGGACCAACTTGCATTTCATATAATACTCTTCCAATTTTATGTCTTACTACTTCCATTTCCCACAGATTTTTACCACGGTAGTTTCTAACCGGAAACTTGTCACCAGGACGAAATTCCCATCTAGAGTCAACGGGAATAGTTCAAAAGAAGTACGCTTTCGAAACTTGTGAACAACAGAAGCACTGGTAATTCACTAATTCAAGCCTGATCGCTGTGCTTAGAGGATTTTCAATCGCTTATCTTACTACACTCTTAACCCCCTCATATTTTTCTCTTTTTTCCGATTTAATTATAATTAGTTAGTTGACTATTATCACCTTCGTTATGACCCTAGTTTCTTTCTTTATTTTCTCTACATCTATCAGGGAGACACTCAATCATCGCATTTTACATCTACTTGCCTTTCTCGCCATTTGCATTGTCTAGCAGATTACTACACAGTTCCTTTCCCACCTTTATTTCAGTTCTAACATTAGAGTAACGATGAAAATACCCTATTGTTTAATAATAGACTTATGTTTGTGACATATACACATACGATTGTACAGCTTTAGAAAATGACATCATTGGAAAAACTTTTTTCGCAGAATTATCTCTTCTTTTCTCTAAGGCTTAATGGGTAAATTTCACTATCTAAATAAACTAAACTTGGATTTCGTTAGGCCCATATATATATATATATATATATATATATATATATATATATATATATATATATATATATATATATAAACTTCGTAACATGAATCCAAACGGATTGGCACATACGCACCCTTAACGTACCCCTTTATCACCTTGATCTTATGATTACCGTTTACTGATAATAGTGTGTTTGCTTGTATGTATGAATGGAAAATGTGAAATGCTTTTTCAAGTTCATTATTTAAACAAGCGGTAACTTGTACCCAACGCTCAAATTATCTAATTTGTCAGTTCATACCCACCTCTTGATAATAAGCAAATACATATATCGATCGCTGCACTACCAGTTAGCTAAATCTATATCACCTGACTTTTCATGGCCAAAATGACTGAGCTAAGACTGAAATGCGACTGATATACATGAATGTATGGATCATGCCTACACATGATCAAAAATTTAGTGAATTGCGTTGATCAGTGGGCTTGAAAACAAAATAACCCATCAAATAGATGGAACTTTAAAAGTGGATAATGAAGATACCTGTACATACACCAACTTACAATGCAGAACACGAGAAAATAGCTGTTTCGTGATCTCAACCAATAAGCGTATTATTCTACTGATGCGAAATTCTAGCCAGAAGATCGCACACAAGTTCTTGAATGCAATTTTTTGTCTTGAAACTTAGAGTATCAACTTCAAGTAATATAAGATAAAAACGTTTTTGAGGAATAAAAGAACAGGAAATTTTAAGTTGGTATTCATCATGAATTAATATCAGTTGGAAAACCATTGTAAACAAAAGAGCACTGGACAGCTGCTTCGTTCTTAGTATGGGACTTCCTAAGCACTATGCACCCATGACCCCGCCAGTGATCGGACTCAGGTTTTCAATGGCTCCTTAACTGACGTCAGTCTATGATGAATGAAAACTTGAAGTCGACAAATCGCCACAAAACTTTAGATTGAATTACTGTCTAATTCTCATCAGTGACCTGCTTCCAGATGAAATTTCCCGAAGTTCTAGTGAGAAGTCATGATCAATGGGGCAAACCAAATCGGGAATGAGTACAGTTACTCAACGACAGCACTCGATGAAGGTCGCGCCATGTCGCAAATTGAGAGGCATGAAACTGCAAACCAATGGGGTTCTAACCCAGAACCTTAATGGTAACGTGCTAGTTACGAAAACTAAAGGTCTGGGGTCCGAGCCCTAGAGGGGTTATGGATGCACACAGCTAAATAGCCCCATACTAGGACGAAACAGCTGTCCATCGCTCCCAAGTTTTCAGTGGTTCTCTAACTGATGTCAGTCCGTAATGAATACCAACTTGAAACCAAATAAATCCCCACAAACCTCTAAATTGAATAGAAAATTTCACAAAAACCAAGGCGATTACAGATTACAAAAAACGCTGTTTAAAGTGTCATTATAATGGCAAGAATGAATGCATGAATAAGTGAACTGCATGCATTTTATTGACATAAACACTAGGGTGTTTTACATACTTCGTATTTTTGTAATTTCTCGATTTAGACTGCACAGGTTCAACTATGAATATCATATATATATGAATACTATAATCTAGCTTTCCAGTCGAAGTCCACCAAATAGTGAGATTCAGTAAAAAACCAACTTGATTTATAGATGAAAAATAAGCAAAAATGTAATATTACTAGTGAACGCATTTTCCGAAAACTCTAGGGATAGTTTATTATCATAAATGAAGACAGAAAACGGTTTATACCTCTCATATCAAGTAATGATATAAGTTACCCATAAGTTTGAATAAGAAAACAATTGATGCAGAAAAATACTCCAAATGAAACAGTGTTATTTATTTGTATAACTTTTTAAGTAAGAGGCTGAAAAGATTTTGGTTTCTTTTTATCATTGATAAAAGAGGATAATGGTAACACCACCGTGCAATATATCAAAAACCCCATCAATGGTACCCAATTAAATTAGACGAAATTCATACGGCATCAACCTCACTAAACCAGTAACTGTGATAAAAATTTCAACAAACTCCTCATACTTCCATGACACCTAAATTAGTGTTTGAAGAATGATGTGAAACTAGAACTCATTCAAAAAATCCGACACGATAGTTCAAATGATATATCATTGAAGCGATATTTCGGGATTTAATTTTACTTAGTCTGTTATAACAAAACTATTCCAACTATTTATGTCCAGAAGTTGAATATCTTGCGGGGGAAAAACTCCTAACATAAGCATAAAGACCGATTAAAAAACATTTAACCCATTGATTTTGATTTTAATCGCCTAACAGTCAAACTCCTTTTTTATACATCAGTGCTTTACAAAACTTTAATGCAAATACACTGATGCACCACGTGGACAGGATTTCGGACAGAAAATAACCAACAAGAAAGGCAATAAATGCCTGGTAGTCTTCAAGCTTTGATACCCGAATGTGCACTTCATCAGTAAACTTGGTGGTGAACTTGGCGGTAGATACGCTTGGCAACTTAACAATAGTTTCGTTAACTAGAAGTGTTAGATAATGTTGGGTAGTCCTCAAGAAAGCATTATTTTGCTCTATGTTAGAGACATATCTACAACGTATTTACTCTTTTAAGTATATACAAATTAGGAGTATGTAAGGACTAATAATGTCTCCTTTTGCATGTTTAATTTATGGGGTGACCTGCAAACATATACTGGGCCATAAAATGGTGACTTAAGAATTCGACTTTTCAGCAGTGGGTCACAAGTCACCCCCCCCCCACGCTTGAATTACTTCGACAAGGGCAACCAGGTCAATACCATAGGCCTCTACACAACTAGTGACTCATAGATTAGTACATATTACCTGTACCGAGATGAGTTGCATCTTTCCTCTAATTAACTTTAGTCTACATATTAGGTTACGAACTACAACAAACAAGTGATATCTAATATCACTATACGGTTGCTCAAGCCTTGGTGGTTGCAGATAAAATAACTTTCTTGGCAAAGTACTCTAGGTTTATCACAAAAATTGTAAAAAGGAATGCAGATACCTGTAAATGACCTTGGAACAGCCATAAAAACCAAAAGCAGTAGCGTAACAACCCAGTAAGTGTTTATCCACTACGTTATGTGCCACACTTTTTGGATGAGTAATTATGACACTACCAAGTTAACAGTGAATGGAATGAGAGTCGAAACTTGGAACTAATGGTTAAAAGCCCAGTTCTTAAACTAGTGAGATAGATCTCCATTGCAATAATTATGAAAGGTAATGATGACAAAAGCATTCATTTGAATGAACAGTAATACGAAAACAGTTTGTATTGCCTTGTATTATTACTCACTTTTCATCCTCAAACAATTTAGTAAATGCTGAGCAACAATTTAAGCTGTCAGGCCAGTCACCAATATTTTCCCCATCGGTTTCGGTAATCACAGCTAATGTATTCAAATATACCTCTAAAAATGAAAACACAGCAAACAAATACACTAACAACACAATAAGAAACCTATTATATAATCTTAATAATCAAATTTTAGCGATTTGAGTTAAAAATGGTTCCCATAATATTGTTATCATCACTACTATTACTACAACGCGACTGGCGCAACATGGGCAGCAAGATATTCACCATACGAATTATTATAACATTTTGAAAACATAGATAACGGAAAAGAGAATGGAAATCAAGACACAAGGGAGTTTCTAAAGAAACAGCCCCAAAAACATATTTGAACAGGCATTGACCACTTTCGTTTCAGAAACAAAAAACTGTAGTATGGTTTCCGCTGGTTTCAACTGAGTCATTTCTGCTGTCGTTTTAAGGTACTGAGTTGCATGATCCCTCAAACCCCATCCAAGGAGTCATGCGACACCTTCAATCATTGCCAAGGGTAACTGCAAGTACCGGCTCACACTAATCTTGTAGAAACACTTTGTACTTCGGTGGTGCAAAGCACATACCATACTTACAGATACTGATCGCCAAGTAATTGAGTTCTGTAAGAGTAACCTGTAAGCTGTCAAGCAGTAAAACGTCCAAGTACTCAAGGTCGAAAATTCCTTCACTTGGTCACAGGTCTGCACCACCAATAGGGATGACGCGACAGCATTTCCAGGCGTAAGAATTTTTTAGTACTAATAAAATCAAAGAATGAAAAACAGTAGAACCATAAAAATTAGGCCAAAACGTTGTGATTACCTCAATATGTTTATGAGCAACAAACTCTGCTCGAAATGTCACCAATACATACTATTTCACTGTGTCGCACATATAGAAGAAAAACTATTATTGGTTTAGGCACCTAATTTCCAATGGATGTCACGGTTTCCGATTCAAGTCCACCTACCTAAGTTTCAGCAGCCACGTAGTAGTATCACTAGCCCTCAAGTAATGTGTGGCTCATCGCCTACTACATTAACATGCACATGGTTGTTCTATGGATTTCTGTTTCAAGGTCAGACTCAATTTACCTATCCCCGTTTCAAAATTTAGTATTTTAAACGCTCACACAACTGATGTGGTTTACACACCTCGTATTAACACATCAAGAAGTCAGTAAAAGAACTAAGTGAATGGAAATATCAACAGTCGTAAAAGACAACAAGGCGAACAGGCACACAGACTAAAATAAATTTATACGATTTTACTACACGGAAAGAAATTATTGCATGAAATGCATCTCTACCGCTAAGCTAAGTCCCTTCGTGTTCAACCAAGAAATATACACTTCGTCATACGGTGTAGTGCAGCAGTCACAAACCCAATAGACTAGGGCCACATCCTAGTCAACCTTAATCATTTACTCAAGATAATATAGAAGTTTGGAGTAAATGATGACCTGGTATATTATATGAACAAAACTTGAGCAACGCCAGTCAAACCAACTGACTCCTATTAGAGTATAGTAAGGTAAACATTTAGTTGTTTGATGCAGTCTCGATGCCTAGTTATTTAGTTGCTTTTATTAATTGAAGAATAAAAACTATAGTCACAGCGTGGATAGAATCAATACGCCAAAAGTATACATGGAAGCATGCCGTAAAACTAAGTTATTAAGCGAACCATCAAAATGAATATATACAAATAAAGACTAGCAGCATTAAAGGTGATGTGCATAACACTTTTCGAATATCATGTGAACTCTTGCTTAATATTACACTCAGCTAGAGAATAGGAATCAATAAATTCCTATTGACTGCCTGAATGGTGTTTGCCTGGGAACTAAATACAGGTTGATCCACTAGACAACAACACCTACTGTATAAGAGTTTTCGACACTAACTGGTTACCTAAACCTTGAACCCGTGACTCACTAGATGAAATTCGGCTGTCTAGATCAGTAAGCTACAGCAATGTTGGTGTCCACTTCAAAAAATGATCATTCTGATTTTGAGTCAGAAGGAATATGAGTGAAAACTGTAGCAAAATCGAAAACTAGAACGAAACAACACATGGTTTTCCTTGGTATTTATTCAGCTAAAATTTCTTTCATAAGGAAAAATATGCTATACCACTCAGTTTAAAATGTTATATTGGAAACGCATTAGACATACGAACTTTCATCAAGAAAAATTTGCATACCATTTTCATATCTTCTCATTGCTCTGGCTCCAAGTCTGATTTCACCTGGATTACTTTTTACAGTTTTATTTTTCGTAAGACATTTCTTTGGACGGTACGGATGAACATATGATAAATCAGAAAGACCACTCTCCGATGTTGCATCAAAATCCGAATAGTGTGGCAGTGGTTGACAGGCTAAAGCTGACCTAAATAAAGCGAATTTGTTAACAGTAGATAATTTTGTACTCAAATGTAAAAAAACGTAAAGCATTTATGCACATAAAATAAAAGTAAAATCATAAAATACTGAGAGGAAATCAATTCTACTAGTAATCTCGAAGTACAAAGTTTGAAATTTAAGGAACTGATGCTCACTAGTTTAGATATTTGACTTCCAGCCAGTAGGTCACAGGTTTAAACCTCGCCCGACCTATGAATGTATAAACAGTGAGGTAGTACGATCAGTTTGCAGACGATGTGTGTGGCGTGTTGTCTACTGGGAGCTGTAGATTATTGGCTTAGGCAGTTGCGTTTCAACCAGTGGATCACGGGTCCAACCCCAATTTTAACTACAGAGGTACAGGCAGACACGTAGTACATTTACCCCTCACACAACAGGTGTGGCTCATTGCCGACTGCAAAAATGCCCACAAGGTTGCTGATTGTATTTCGATTTTTTCTTCAATTCGATCGTCTACATGACAATTGTGCATTTGCTTGCTGAGATTGCATTTTTCTTTCATATTACACATCTACCAACAGTCCACGAATCATGAGCATGAACTACGTCAATCTTTCCACGTATAATGTATGTATACCATGAGTGCTAAAACATAGCTAGTAACAAAATTAGCCCCAGGAAAGACCTATATAAGATATGAGGATGTAGCGTAGTGACCTATAAACTTGAGTCATAACTACTGTGCAGCACATTTTGGATAATATGATGGGTGCTAGTTGAAACGAAAACTAGCTTAGAATTTCTAGAGCCTATGTATATTCAAAAAGGCAGTGAAACTCAACGACTTAGCACGAGCTCAGATAACAAACGATAAACCACATCTGCAAAAACTGGCTTTCCACTCACAATAGATAGCGTAGGGTTTGGAAATGATACCGATCACATTGAAAATGGATATCCTAAGTCAATAAACGACTTCCTAAAGATGTCAAGTACCTTACACGACAGTAATCTATTAAACATCCTCAGACATAGGATAAACGAACTTTAGTGGTTTAAACGTAAACTCGGTATGATATCAAATCTGACAGATATCCCAAACCGCATTGTCAAGATGGGAAGAACAATAAGGAATAAGTTTTGAAGTAGACAAATAAATCAGTGAAAAATGCTAATTTTGCATGTTGAGATCAGGAATAGTCTTATGAGACGCATTCAAGAAACCTTTGTTACTTGTGCATTATCACCGAAAAACAAACCCAGGAAACTTCTGAATGGTTGTAATTGACTTCAACTTGATAATACCTCGAACCATAATCGTGATATGACTCAGAATGAAGATGGTGGTTTGGTGTTCTCTGAAAACGATAAAATACCAAATCTCAAAGATATCTCAGAAATAGCCAACCAATTGCTTCGTCCTTTCGGAATCAGAGTGGCACACAAGCCAACGAAATCATCACACAGCATGTTGTGCAAACTAAAGGATCCATTGCTAAAAGAAGACGGCAAAAATAATCTACAAAACCAATTGCAAAAATTATTCACAGCACTATGTTGCCTAGTCAAGCCATCAAATTGCTCAAAGAATTCATGAACACCAACTTGCAGTAAAGCGACATGCGCGACCTTCTTGGTTTCAATGTATCTAGACAATCAAGATCACAACTTCGACTAGAAGAATGTAGAAATCCTCCAAAGAGCGGGTTCGGAAGCTGCAAGAGAATCTCTAGAGCATAGCATTTAAACCAAATGTCAATCAACAGACATGTGGATAGGGACCCGATCTATAATCTACTTAGAAAGAAAACAATCACCCATCAACCAAGAGTGAATTGACCGGACAAATCAATAATGATGCACAATATGAAAACAACAAACAGCACAGTTTCACTCCAACAAAGAATATCAAATGACGTGAGTGAAGGCAATTTAAGGTCGAAGAGGCCATGGTCTGATAAGAAAATTTCTTCCCCAACTTACGATTAAACAACATCCAGGGTCAATAAAAATACTATCTAAACATCCGTGTAATATCCGAAAATACTTCACTTCTTTATGAAGCTAGAGCTGAGGATGTCAATAAGCCTAGTGATGAAACGTTCAAGACAAAATATCGAACCTCAAAGAACATCAAACCGCCATCAGAGCTTCATGTATTATACTATGATCCCTACTTTACGTACGAGGTTTTATGGTACTAACCGAATGAAGTACGTGAAGTCTTAAACTAGGAACAACAGTTTCTGGGTAGAGTACATAAGCCAGTAAATCGCACTATCTGTAAGTCAAACATCACAAAACGTTACTATAGACTACCATACAAATGAAAAAAGTAAGCCAAGATGTTCAAAATCAATGAACGGAAACATTAAGGGATATGACTAAAAACCAATCACTGGTAAAGACATATTTGCTTCTTTTCAAAAGATTGAATATTGTATACTGACAAGACAAAGCTCACTTAGCACTCTTCAGAATACCGGTCAAAAGTAAGACAACTTTAAACCAACTTTTGGAGATAACCAGTGAAATTAATAGGAAGAGATATCTGTGCGAACAATTGTTTTCGATAACCTTTTTATGCACTACAGTTAAAAATTGTACTCTACTATGTGAGATAATAAATAGTGCTAAAGTGAGCTGACTTTTAGAAACAGGAAGTTAGTAACTAATTTACTGTTCAAGTGTCAGATATAAGGTTAGCAAGAACGACTAAAAAACTCAATCACCAAGAGCATTTGTATGCATCTTTACATCCTTAACCCCACAGTTATAGTGATACAGACGGAAGGAAAAACAGGTTAGAAGTATTCACAACTTTGCCTTTACTTTCCAGCAATAGAATAGACAGGATGGCTTCAGCGCGATCACCACTGGTCTTGATTTTTAGCCACAGAGTTGCATGATCTCTTGAAGCCTATCCACGAAGCTGTGGGGTACTGTGAGATAATATCCCAACACAACTATTTTAGATCTTAACGTGCCACGTCATATGCAGACCTCTCCCCGTTCCCAAACATCCGGGACCAGAAAACAATGAGCGATACGGGAGTCAATGGATCAACATTAGTAATAAATGTCCAAGCATCTGAGGTCTTTGCTTCAAGGTGATTTCACTTAGTGAATGATCTCTATCACGACAACCTGCCTCAGAATTATTCACACAGTTTCCACTGCATCCGAGCAATCCTCCGAAGGCAACGGTGATCGAATGCGTAAACACTTCAAACAGCCCCAGCTGGCAGAGATCAGGTTTTACAGACGAGGGGCAGAACATCTCAAAGCCACACGCTGTACATCCAACTTCTTATAGCCACACGAACTCCATGAAAGTGCCAAAGCCGCGTGCGCTCAGCGCATGCAAGTGACCTCCAATATAAGATTGGGAATCCTATTGGTTACACCACTGGTACTCTTTCAACTACTCAATTTGCACTCAGCCGGACTCCATGCTTTCATACAAGTGAGATCGCAGGTACAAGCTCTTGATATCTTTGTAAAAGCACTCTTCAATTAGACGATACAAAGCGTGCCCCACACTTTTGGAAAACGATCGCTAAGTGATTAGGTGTGGCTGATATGACCTGTATGTCATTGCACAGTAAAACGACATCCGCATACTCATGATCCAAATTCACGTAGCAGATCTGCACCACCACCACGCACACTTCTTTAGAGCTGCCTTGAGAATGTCATCAATGGCAAAGCTAGAGAGGAGTGGTGAAATCACACATCATTGTGTAGTCTTGCCTAGTTCAGAACAATGAGGAGCGGTTGCATATCATCGCTAAATGAGGCGTTATTTATGAGTTTGAGACATAAAGAAACAAAGATTGTTAGCCTGCGATACACGCGACAGTGATGAAACAGCTGGAGGTAAGTGAACAGTGATTAAGGCGTCTATGATCTGAACACATGCCAGCATACTCTTCGCGATCAGCTTTTCATGTTTCCTGAAGCACCCAAGAAGAATGATGGCAACAACTACTTTAGGTGCTAGTTGTAGCAGACTGATATGTTACGTAGATGTTTTTCACTATGGATACAATGATGAGGTCATCCCACAGTGAAAGAATACTCTTCACTTGACATACCTTGTAAAACAAGATCATTAGCACCCAGATTGGTCTGCTCCATCTCTAGAAACATCCACAAGTAAGCTGCCTGGGTAGCGTGTCTTCTGCAGCTTGGTACCTGGAGCTCCTTCTTGGACGGTGCTTCGTCGTGGTTCGGTATTAGCTGGTCACGGGACGAAAGGCAGGAACATCAACGTTAATGGGGTAAGCCAAATAAACTGCTTTTCCAGGAGCCCGAACCAGGGTTTCAGGCATCTAAGACGGTTGATTAGTATGCTCCAAGAGATTGCCGTACTGACACCAGACTTCTTACTACCTTTGGCAAAGATCAGCTGGAATAGCTCCTGAATATTACAGGCATTCTTTATAAGGCTTCATGGTCCTTACATACGTGTTAGATGATTTTTCAAGTAAAGCACTTATGAGCACTACTGAAATCGTTGTTCAACAACATGAACCAGCAAGCGTTAAGAAGTTGCAAGGACCTAACAAACACTGGTTAGCAGCCAAGCATTCTTCGAAACCACAGGCAGCTCCACTACCTTCTCATGAACTCTTTCGTGTCTCACGCATACTGGTGCATACTTTTTAAAACTCAAATGAACAACCGCAAGCGACTATTTTGATTTCGATGCCACACGCGGATATTTGTATATGGCAAACTGAACTGAGTTCTTTTCCGTAGTTCTTTCTGTAGGCTGGAGATGAGATCGAAGATCTTATGTTCAAAAAGGCCCCACCAAACATTATTAAACATTGCATGTTGTAAGGCAATATCAATGCCAGAAGCTGTAAATGTAACAACTTGGACAACAAAACAGGTTCACCACAGCTTCGTATAGTGGACACGTGCGTCAGTTAACGACTCAGGATTAATCGTCATGATCATCGGGCTTGTGCTCTAACTGACGAATATTACTAAAGACATAAAGCTCATCCTCAGTCTTAGGTAAAAAAGATATCTAAGCCACCCGCATAACATGTGTTATCAGTTTTGCAGATTTCCAGGAGTTTTACGAAAAGAGGCTGGATCCAAACTCAAAATAAATCACTTGATAACTCTACGAAAAATTAGTAGCCAACCTAAACAAGTAATTAGAAGGAACTTACTTTAACATTTTTCAAGTTGGTTTTCTCCAAACTCCAAGCGATACGGTTATTGATGACTCTAGGCACAGTTCTGAAACTTGTCTGAACAGAAGATAAGGCTATAACGTTATAAAGGAAAGGATGAGGAGATGAAAGTAAGCAAATCCAACCACCTACTGAAAACTGAAACTACAGGTTCGCCCTAAGGGTTGAAGTTGGTGCGAGAACTTAAAACATCATGTCCAATATCCAATTCCAGTTATACCCACTACTATAAACCAACTAATTTCTTCGCGGTTCTTTGTAGATTTTGCGACGTTTTTTCAGGCATTATGTGTGTTCCAGTGCAGCACACCTATCCACTCGCCTTCTGTAACTCTTTCAGCAGTGATAGTGAGAGAGTAGGAAACTGATAATTTCTAATGTTTCGCATCTAGTTCGTGAGGCTTGGTTCATGTTTCTCGGTTCCCTTCTGTAATGAGGAAAGAAACCCTCTCTGTTTCTGCTTTTATCATCACTGAGTGAGTGTTTTTGTGGTTAATTATTGCAATTTGTAGATTGACTGGGGAGTTATGGGTTGCGATTAGCACTAGGGATCTTTCTTAACTCCAGTCTGCATAGGTGCCTGAATGGGAATATAAAGAGAGTAGTTAAAGGTTTGTGGGAGTTACCCAAAAGGTAGAAGTGGATAGTATGCATGTAGTCGCTAGAGGAGAGTTAGTAGAAAATGTAGATATGTCAACAAGAGAGGTGGTGGGTGGTCAGAAAGAAGGAAGTAGTGGTAGACCAAGGAGGTTAGCAAGATACTTCTTTGGTGTACCATGCAAAATAACGCAACTGCCTAACCACCTTTTGAATGAGTCTATTTAAGTGTGAGCTCCCTTATGTGCTATCCTGATGGGGTTTCCCGTGATGACCACCGCGTTGCAGGCAAAGCTTGCTTGTTTGCGTGACTTGCCTGATGGATGATCTTGTGGCCAAAATTAAGTCGCCCATCTTTCTGTGATTGCCCAAGGTGAATATGTTGAAATGCTTCAGCCCGATTTCTTTGCAGACAGTTGTTTTCTCAAGGATATCGGAGTCTCCCTTGAGCACTGGGAGTGCCGGCGTATTGAAGACCTCTCGGTGAGGCCGTACGCTGGAGTTGAAAACTGAAACAATTCGGTGGTAAGAGCACCAGGCCGCCTACGTGGCGAATAAAAATTGGTGTCCGCTGTAGCGGCCATTTCTTTGCAGTTGGAGTTGGTGTTCAAGGTGTCCGAAAAGTCAAGCCCAACATTTGTTTCCTTCGGCACTGGCGACGGTACGGTTGCTCAAATCGTATTGGAATCCGGTTGCCCTCGCTCCATAGATACTGGTGTACATTACTTTGCACTTTCCTTGGTTGAAGCTCAAGTCACTTCCCGACAGCCAGAGCCCGGGTTGCTGCAGGTCATTTAACAGTGCCGCGCAGTGGGCCTCTTCGTTTACTATGCCCTACATTTCAGTATCATCAGTGAAAAACAGAATGGGTGATGATATGTTGTGTGGCAGATCTTTGATGAGCGGGAGGAACAGAATTGGTCCCAGGGTTGCCCTTTTGGATACCCATGACGTCAATAGTCTCCACTCCGACTGCATTATGCTTACCTTCGTGCAGAACTGCTTGCCTTCTGGGTACCTTTTGAATGGACAGAGTGGAGGTTCTTTTATACCTTCGGATATGATCTCATGAAGCAGGGCTATGGGTGCAACACTGTCAAATGCTTGAGCTAGGTCGAGACAAATAACATGTGCTGGTTTTCCGCTTCCCCATCTGGCAGTCCACTTGTCTCAAGCAGTCAGCAAGCTGGTGATACATGAATGACCTCCCGAGAAATCATTTTGAGTGATTACTGCGCGATTACCAAGACAAAGAGGAGGATGGGTACACATATTTTCGGTGAGATGATCATAGTTCGTCAGGACGTAGTCCAGGCGTGGTGCATTTCATCCAGACACCCTGCCGCCTCTGGGAGACGAGCAGCCATAACCGTATTCTTCAGCTTCTAGTTGAAAGATCTGGCGTGCCTCCCTTCCATCTCGAGAGAGACGGATGGTACCAAAGTCTCCGATGATGAATACGGAATCACAGTCTGCGAAGAAATTCACCAAGATTCCCTTGATGACCATTTCCTTCTGGTTATGGCAGCCAGTGCGGGACTGATACATGACCCCGAGCAGACTTTCAATATGATAAAAAGCGGAGTAGGACCACAGAGATTCCGGGAGCCGATTTACAACCACATCGGTGACCAACCTTGTCTTTAAACAAGAGCTTACTCAGAGCGCCACCCCCACCTCCCTGAGTTCCCCATCCCCGCTAAACGGTTCCAGGCTAGTGACATGTATCTCTTCGTCGGAAATGTCCGGTGAGAATTGAGATTCTGTGACAAATGTGATTTCAGAGTGCGGATGTTCGCGGAGCGTCCTCACCTCTGTTGCTTGTCCTCTTCTTCCTCCAACGCTGATGCATACACGTGTTGGGGTGTGGCTGCAGAAAGAAATGGACTGGCTGCATAATTCATTGGGGGAAGGGCTTACAATGTCGTGTCTAGTTCACCAGTCCCCATTGGGCTGATATCGCCCCGTTTTCGGTGCTTCGCCCTCAGATTGCGTGAGGACTGCAGTAGCATAGGCTTTGGTACTCCATATACCTGACTCACTTGCTTGTGACAACCAATGACTCCAAAAGTCTTGCGGGCTGCCATCTCTCTTCTTGCCTGGTGGGTCTAGGCTTGCTGTCACACATGCTTGTGGAGCCACTGATGCGTTCTTTTCCGTTATACCATGCATGCAGAACGTCTGTGGGGAAGATACCTGGGTCGAATAGGGTGGCTAGTGGTCTGGGAGTTGGAGTGAGCCTCGGATGTGCTGGTTTCGGCGGTTTGCTGCCACAGTTAGCTGGCACATTGTCGAGGCCAATGACTTCAAACTCGAAGAAATAAAAGCTGTAGATCCAGACAAAGGGATGAAACTACAAACTGATTATTCACTCAGATGGTTTAAAACGGCAACACAAAACATCACCTGTTTGGCTTCCGAATTCAAAGCCAAGGACCAGAATTTCACACAGTGAAGAGAAAGATTAGTGAAGTTATCTGAGGCTGCTGCGGTTTTGTGGACTGATATAATTCACATCGAGTGAATATTGAAGGTGAAACGGAAATCTTGATAGCGGCAGTATCCAAACAAGCGGCCTTATGATTACCAGCTCGAAGCTATGCCGAATGGGCCAGGAGACCCAGCTGCTGACCACGCCCTAATTTTATGCCAGTCACCAGAGATCTTGCCTGACTGCTTTGCAAATGTGTAAAAGATAACTGCCCGCCTACCACAACGACACTGGTCACCCAGGTGAGCCTTCTCATCCTCAGCAAAATCGAGCAGAATTGGAAAGGCTGATGGCCATATGGTCTTACAATAGGATTGTTAGAGATTATCATTGTTTTTCGTGCCAATATTATTGATAAGTAGTGACGATTCAAGGATCAGACTCCGTGTAAATGAAGGAAAAGTGAGAACTGCCGGACACCTGAAGCCCGCGGTTCAGCTAGTAACGTAATGAGTCAATAACCAGGAGGCCGCTGGTTCGAATCCTGCCGCGGCACAAGTTTTCTTCTACCTTCAAAGCTAACCCCCTGTCAATAAGTATAGTTACAAACCATGGCTATTAAAGCACGTTTCATCTACTGAAACGACTTGGTTGTACCTTGGCTTGCACTTTCACTTTAGGCGTTGTGCTTCCATACCTCCGATAATAATGAAATTTGTTCTTGAAGAAACAGGTAAGCACCATCTTAATAGGCATGAATAACTTACCATATAATGGTAATATATTTCGAGTAATGATGAATTACATGGTTCCCTATGACGGGTAACCTCAATCTTCACGTTCCGTCACTAGAGGATATAAGCGCAGCATGTTTATGTGGTGGAGTGTCCAAGAGGAATACGTATACGAGATTTCACAGGTTCGAAAAGCGGAAGTATGATCTTCACATTAACGAGGCAAACCGGGATTTATATCCGGGCGTTACATGCATTACCTTGAGAAAATTAGGGTTTGAAGCTAATACTTTCACTGTAACAGTTTGTACTTTCTATTTGGGATGAGGATGAAAAGTTCATGAGGGAATGTATGCACAAGATGTTTATTCAGTGCGTCTCATTGGCGGTTCCAGAACTGTACAATTTACGTATGCTCATACCAGTCCACATTAAAAATTCATAATCTTGCTGAATATTACGACCGAGAGCTAAATATGTACATCCCTCAACTTCATCAACCAGAAGTATTGGTTTTGTTTGAATACTTCAAGTGGACTTCCAGAATATCTTGTCCGCCATCTTCCGCATGTGGCGAAAACCCCGTGGTCGGTAAGTGTCAGACCTTCCTGGTCACGTTCGTAATGAATAAATCCTAAGCTTTGATAATTATGAAGTCGCAGCCGAATGAACTTCCTTTGTTTCTGTTCGAAAGGGATTCACACACCTATCAAAAATGCGGTTTTTCAGGACATGAAAAATTTCAAGGATTAGCTTAGGCTGCCACAATTCAGGACAAAATTCCACTTTTGTGCTGTATAACTAGAACTAAAAGCGGGCTGGTGTGAGTTGCTAAATATCCGTAGACGTTGAAAATGTTCGGTCATCCTCAGATCCGTTCTCGTTCTTCCGTATTCTCAAGGCAATGGACGTTGCGCTTTAAACCGTTTCTGGTTAGTTTAAGGCCCAAGTCTTCAAACGGGTCCAGTCGAGCCCTCGGAAATGTGTTCCAGACCTATTTTGCCTTCCTCTTACCGGAAAGAAAGTCTTCATCTTCAGACTTTAGGTCAGTCAGAATACAGCTGGTTAAGATCCGATGGAAATTCCTGTGATCCAAAGCCCGAAAAATATTCTGAAATTATAGTCAACTCGTTGATATATTTCTATACTTCTCTCACAGTGCACGATGTGGGGCGTAGATGGACCAACGTACTTGCACCCTCCGCCACCCGTGAGGCTTTAACTTCTGCTTCTTCAAGCTGTTATACGCCATGTGCTTGATTTCTTAAATGTACAATGTTGAGTTTTCCAAGAATAAATTCAGTCACATTGTTCCGCTTTCGAATGCAAAAGACAGTGATACAGCTTTCAGTAAACGTTTTTGCCCATAAACACATCAAAATAAGTTGGAGATGGCCCCAAAATGCCCCTCCGATGTGAGCTCAGGT